GTTTTCTTGTTCTGCCACTTGAGGGCGCCAGAGCTTATTTCTACTTCGACTTTAGTTCATTGTTTTAAATTAAAGGTTTCAAATGTTTGAATGGTTTTTAATGAAACAAAAACATCTGAATTGGCAGTAAGAATCTGAGTTTATGCAACTGATGCTCTTCCTAACACGATCTGTAAGCGTAATTTAAAGATACCCGACTTGTTTCTGCACCTTTCAGCTGGGATTATTTCTTGTTTTATGGTCTCACTAACTCAATAAATGCAGGCAGCAGAACGGAAAAGGCTAGGCTAATCTGCTAGTGCAGAGGAGCTCAAATACTGAAGGCTTTTATTTGTTTTTAAGGAACGCCCAGCTTGTGGCAGTTTGACAGTTCAGGTAATTAAATTTGATTTTTGTCTTACCTGCTTCCATACGCAAGGGCGTCAGTTTGTTTTCAGAATTGCTGGGGACAATAACCATACACTTGAGTGGGGTTTAAAAATTGCTGGGGACAATAAAGTAGGCTAGCACAGGGGTCGGCAATCAGCGGCTCTGGAGCCGCATGCGGCTATTCCATCCATCTGATGCGGCTCTCTGTGCTTGTAAAATAATGAATGGATATTTAAATAAAATGCTTTATATTTTACTGCATTAATTTTACATCTGTATGCTAATTCTAAATGTAAAGATTGTCTGCGTAAACCTGAACAGGTCCAACCTGGTCTTACTGTGAGACCGGGTTGGCGCGTCACGCTTGTGCGTAATCATATAGGCGCATTCTGAGCTGAAGACAATGTGAGATTCTGGGATTCTCCTCAGACGGTTCCTGGATGTGTCGCCACATTGGAGACAGGAACAAGCACTATTCAGCCAAAGTTTCATAATCAGGGAACATTTTCTAAGTGATAAGTCTCTCTGAGAGTCAGGGTTTGGAAAACCCTCGCTTCAGTGGGAGGAACCTTCCCGCATGCGCTCTGGGGTTAATCAAGTTTAATTGTTTCTCTTTGCAACAATCTTCACAGGAAGGCAAAACAGTTAAACGGCAGGTTACATATATTTCTATTTGACTGTTTATTTTGACAGATGAACTCAAGGATGTTGCTTGGTTTGAAAGAATTACCCCGACGCACACTGATGCGCATGGATGAGCTGACATTTTAATCGTTAACGCACATCACGGAGGTAAAATATTCCCATCAGAACATCAGAGCTTTATACTGGACACTGTGTTCAGCGCGGCTTGGAGCGCCCACGGTGCACAGTGAGTGAAGATCTGGGGTTCGCAGCGCAGTGCAGAACCACGGCGCATGCGATGAGATTTCCTCCCACTGAAACAGTCTGGAAACCCGGTCTCTCTGAGGGATGTGTCACTTGGAAAAATGTTCTTTTTATGAAATTATGAAACTTTGGCTGAACAGCGCTTGTTCCCGTCTCTAATATGGAGACGCATGACGCGTAGAGACATTTGATTACGCACAAAGTTTATGTGGAGCAGAAGCGGTCGGGCCACGGCAGGTGAAACGTTCCTAGCCTACATGAAGTGAAACTGTTTAATTGTAACATTAATATGTTACTGGACACGCTGGTCTGGTTGGTTAAACCAGTGTTTGACGTGGAACACACACACACACACACACACACACACCAATTAAAACAATGCTGATAGCGTGGACTAGAAGACAGGTGATGGTTTACGTATTTAAATGATGATCAGGCTGCTGTAAAATGTAATCTCCATCCACATCCAGACACAATTATCCTCTATTCTTTCTCTATTTGCTCTGCTCTTGTCTGGGCTGATCAGCTGATGGTGCGCGCGGCGCGCCTAACTAGCGGCTGATGCACATTTTACGCATTTGGAGAGGTGGGCTAGATGGTCCACTTAACGCACGGATGTAGACTAAATATTAATGACAAATGAATGAAAATTAAATTGTGAGTTTTTACTTCATATTTTATAAATAAAAAGGACGGGGAAACACATTTATGACGTCTTTTTAAACAAAATTTTCTAGCGCGACCCGCCTGCTTCACTTAAGTCACTGCTTATTAAGGTCCGTCCAAAATTACCGTGGGAAATGGGTAATAATGGCTCTTTGATGGGAACAGGTTGCCGACCCCTGGTATAAGATCTGAGCTGGTAAAACAAAAATCCTCATCAGCAGGCGTTTTTGAAAGTGGGGGGGACACAGTTGCCAATCACAAATTTTGCCGGGGACATGTCCCCGGCGTCCCCGGTTAAAATGACGCCTATGTCCATACGTCATTTCCTCTGTGGCGAGCGCATCTTTAAAAAAGGGGGCGTGACCCGATCAGGTGTGTCTGATTGCCCCGCTGACAGTGAGAGGGAGGATTAATAGAAACAAGTAGTGTTGAAATAATAACGAGAATATTTGTGAAAAAACGATAACACGGAGGAGAGACAAGAACACCGTTCCACAGCGGAGATTAATGGCTGGTTTATGCTTGACGCGTCCGCGAGGTTCGCACGGCTCCGAGCAGCAAAATTGCGTCATTTTAACAACCACGCCCCACCACCTGGCCTCCGCACGGCCCAAACTTTCCGCACCACGCACCAGATATTTTCTAACCACGTGGACGGTCGAACACGGAAAAACATGGCGGACTGGCATGAACTAGTTATGGCAGAGTTTGCAAATACAGACATTTGTATGATTCAGTTCTCAAAGATCACTGTGATCAACTTTCGCGGATGAAACGTAGCGGGAAAACGTAACAAAACTGTTCTGTGTTTTAAGAAAGAACTGCAGCATGGAGTTAGAAATACGACACAGCAAGAACACACCTAAGATGCTCTTAGCTTTATTGTTTAGTCTGGATTAATCTCTATTTCTCCAATGGGAGGTTGTTCAAAGAGCTTTCTACAACAGGTATTATTAAGATGTTCAAGCTTGAAAGGTCCAAATTATTCTTTGTTCTTGACACGTGAAGCACTGTCTTTCCACAAGGGGGCAGTCTACAACCTGTCGATCAAGACGATTGCTCATTTAAAAAAAAATAGGACAGAAAAACTGTTTCAGGCTGAAATAATATGGGTTACTTTTTCAGTATGAAACATGATTTTCTCTGTGACTGTCCTACATTCAGACTTTCTCTCTTGGGAGTTTTTCTGCTCTTCATAATTCTCTTCTGTGTCATTTTCTAAAACTGGATAAATCATGTTGAAAATCAAATCAGCAAATTATTAGCTTATTAATCCGACTGCACCTTTTAATTTGAATAGGACCACAATGCTGTTGAAAAACTCCTCAGAACATGTTTAGAAATGTTTTATTCAGTCAGTCATTTCTTCTATTTATTAATATCACTGGCCCTGCCAGGTAGCACCCCCAAAATGTGTCAGAACCCCCTAAAATCTTTAGTTTTTCTCTGAAAAGAGGTGTGATGAGAGTCAGGTCCTCTAAATCTCAGACCTTGGGTTCTTGATCAGAAACCGATGCGATGCTGTTGGGTTTGGAGTGAGTCTTGCCTCTAGTTGTCTTGATCTTGAGTGATAATAAAATGGAGCGGGATGCCTGGACTTCCCTCCTGGACATATGAATGACTGAATGACTGAATGAATGGACAGATGGATGATTGTTAGATGAATGGATGAATGAAAGGTTTGATGGATGGAAGAATTGATGGACGAACAAATAGATGAATGGTTAGATGGATGGCTGGATGGATGAATAATTGGATGGATGAATGGTTAGGTGGATAGATGGAAGAACTGATGGATGATTAAATAAATTAATTGATGAATGGATGGATGCATGGATGAATATATAAATGTTTCCTGGATGGGAGAATTGATGAATAAATAGATTTATAGATGAATGGTTGGATTGATGGATGGATGGATTAATTAATAGATTAAAGAATGGATTAATTGCTGGATGCATGGAAGTATTGATGGATGAATGAATGGGTGATTGGATGGATGATTGTTAGATTGTTAGAATGGTTTAATGGATGGATGAATAAATAGATGGATGAATGGATTAATTGTTTGATGGATGGAACTATTGATGAATGAACAAATAGATCAATTGATAAATGTTGGATGGATTGACTATTGTTAGATGGATGAATGGTTTATTGGATGGATGAATAAATAGATGGATGAATGAATAGATGAATTGTTGGATGGATGGAAGAATTGATGAACAAATAGATGAACTGATGAATTGTTGGATGGATGGATGGATAGATGTAAGTATTGATGGATGAATGAATAAGTAAATAGATGAATCAATGAATGGTTG